GGCAGCCCAAGCGGAACTCGCCCGACGCCCGCGGGCCCAGCAGTGCCGGGCAGCGGATCGTAGCATTTCCTGGTCGAGTAGCCCCCGCAGGGACAGCGACGACCGACGCGGGCCCGTTGCGGCGGCGGCAGCGGCGGCAACGGCGACGGCAGCGACGGCGGCTCAGGAGGCAACGTCGGAACGGTGACGGCGGCGTCGGCGACGACAGCAACAGGGAGGGCGGAGGTTGAGGGAGGAATCACGAGCTAACGACGATGAAGATGACGACGAAGACGGCCCGCGCGGGCCCGCGCCACGCGGGGTAACGACGATCGACGTGGGCGACGGGTGACGACGACAACGACGACGGCGGCAACGCTGATGACGCCGCCGCGACGGCGGCGGCTGCGACGGCGGCGACGGCGGTGGGGGATGGGAAGGACAAGAGAAGGCTGTAAGGGAGGGAGAGGAGGAGGGCGCAGAAAACGACGACGACAACGCCTGGGGGGACGGCGGTGCCGCAGAGCGACGAAAATGGATGGTTGCGGAGCCAGCCAAGATCTGCATGTCCCTGGAATTCTGAACCGTGATCGCCACTGGGAGGCATATGTTACCCGTGCAATCGCTCGCTCACTATATCTCTGATTGCCCGTCGCTCTCGCATATTCCTCCTCCCCCTCCTCCCCCGGCCTCCTTCCCCTATCTCTCTCCATGCCCTCCCTCCTCCCCCCAGCCTCCCTCGTCCCTCTCTTCCTCCTCCTCCTCCTCCCCCTCGTCCTCCTCCTCCTCCCCCTCTTCCTCCTCCCTCTTCCCTCTCTCAGGCAATAACGGGACGCCCAAAGAACCTCCTCCGTCCGCCCCTCCCTCCCTGTTGCTGAGCGGCTGTCGTCGTCGTCACGTTCGGCACGCGTCATCGTTTCCCCGCGTTTGTTACCCTTGCCCCCCAAAAACAAAAACTGTCCTTGCGCTTGTTGCGGGCCCACAAGCACCGCGAGCAGTTCGCCTTGGCGCACTTCTCGAAGTGGACGCGGTCGGGGTCGGCCCTGCCGGGCAGAATTATACGCATTCCTCTTCCCTCCTCCTCCTCCTCCTCCTCCTCTTCCTCCTCCTCTCACATTCCTTCTCTCTCCTGCTCCTCATCTTCCTCGTATTCGTCGTTCGGCCCTCCCTCCATCCTCCCTCCATCCCTCCCTCTACCTTCCTCCATCCATCCCTCCATCCATCCATCCATCCCTCCACTCTCCTCCTCATATCCCTCCCTCGACGCTCCTCTCTCCATCCCTTCCTCCACCCCTACCTCCCCTCCACCCCCCTGCATCCATCCCATCCACAGCTCTCTCTCTCTCTCTCTCTCTCTCTCTCCTTCCCTCCTCCTCTCTCTCTCTCTCTCTCTCTCTCTCTCTCCCCCACTTTCTCTCTCTCTCTCTCTCTCTCCCTGTCTCCCTCTCATCCCCCTCCTCCCCCATCCTCGTCCTCCCCCTCCCCCCCCTCCTCCTCCTCTCTGGGGCGGAAGAACACACAACAAAACGTGTCCTGGGCAGCTTCTCGATGCCCCGCGGAAGCTTCGCGACCCCGTCGGCGGTCTTGAGCCGCTTGACGTCGCCATGCCCCCCCGGCGGCGGGGAAGCCTTCCTCTTCAGCTTCCTCTTAACAGAGGAAAAAACGAGGGGCCCGCCGCGCCGCGGCTGGGGCGTCGACGGGGCGGGCGCGTCCCAGCACTCATCCATGGCCAAAACGGCTCAGGGGTTACAGTAGGATTGGCTTTGCCGGAGGGGCCCTGACTTCATGCACGATGCTTTGGCGCATGACCACTTGCGGACTAATTGCGAGGGCGGGGAATTGAAGGTACAGCATAGCATTGCATAGCATCGCATAGCACACAGCATCGCATGGCATGCACTTGCATAGCATTGCATCGCACGGCATCGCATAGCATCGCACAGCATAGCATCGCACCGCATAGTATCGCAACGCGTAGCAAATTGCAGCATTGCATAGCATACCTCGTACCGAAGCGAGCGACCAGATAGTTAAGAGTGCTTTACTTAGCCCTGCACGCCCAATGTCCAATCCTTCTGCCTTGAAGCGGGATCAGCCGATTAGCCACGAACGCGTCGACGACGACGACGGCGACGGCGACTGCGACCACGGGCCGCCAAAAGTTCCCCCGGAGGCCCCTCCTGGAACGTAAACGTCGACGACGACGACGACGACGACGACGACGACGACGACGACGGGTCCCGGGTCCAATCTCTGGCCGTCGGACCTGCCGTCTCGGACGACGATGGCGAAGACGCCTCCCTCTCCTCCTGATCCTCATCCGCATCGTCTGCCTCCTCGTCCTCTTCCTCATCATCCTTATCCTGGTCCTGATTATGCCTCTCCTCGTCCTCGTGCTCCTCCTCATCTCTTTTCTCGCCCTCCCCTCCCCCATCCCTGCACCGCCCGCCACCGGGCGGTGTGCGTGTTCGTGCCGAACGTGGCGCGCTCTGAAACGGTCGCGGCGCCCGATATATTCTTCTCAAGAGCGACGGCACCACTCTTCTTATTCCTCACCCCTTTCCTGTTCCTCGATCCCTTCGCCCTCCGTATTTCCTCCTCCTTTTCCTCCTCCCCCGTCGCCTCTTCCTCTGAGGTATCTGGGCAGCGTTTCGCATGAGGAAGGAAGTGGAGGAAGAGGAGGAAGGAGGAAGGAGGAAGAAGAGGAAGGAGGAAGGAGGAAGAGGAGGAAGAACGAGGAAGGGGGAAGAACGAGGAAGGAGGAAAAACGAGGAAGGAGGAGGAACCTGGAAGGAGGAAGAGGAGGAAGGAGGAAGGAGGTGGAGGAAGGAGGAGGAAGGAGGAAGGAGGAATAACGAGGAATGAGTGGAGGAAGGAGGATGGAGGAAGAAGGAGGAAAGGAGGAAAAAAGGAGGAATAAATAATGAGGCAGAAATGAGGAAGGAGGAGGAAGGAGGAGGAAGGAGGAAGGAGGAAAGAAGGAGGAGGAAAGAGCTGTTCGTCGTCCACACCAACACAACGCAAACCCCGATTACCATGAGTACATCAGCAGCGACTACCTACGGCGAATCACCACCAGAAAAAGAGGAGGAGGCCGATGAGAGGAAGGAGGAGGCGGAGGAGGAGGAGGAGGATGTGTATGTTTGCGCCTGCCATAGCATAGCATAGCACAACATAGCATAGCATAACATATCCATAGCATAACTTAGCACACCGTAGCACACCCCATTGCCACGGGACACCACGGGGCACCACCGGACACCACGTGACACCACGGGGAAACCACGGGGACCCTCCTCCATTTTTCCATTGTTCTAACACCTGGCAAGGCTCAAGGGGCGTCTCTTCGCAGATGGTTCCCGGCTCCATGGCGAGCGCCCGCACTTGGCCCGCGCTTGATGGGCCGTTTGCTACGTGGATTGGGATGGGAGCCTCGCTCGGGCAGCTTACGGGCCGTTGCCGTTCTTGGCGTCGCAGGAGCAGGGGATCCGGGAGGCGGAGGACTACTGCATCTTCATGCTGTTCGAGCTTGCGCTGCCCCCCTTCTCCCTGCACATCGATTGCAGGGGCACGGTCGACTGCGTCGCTGCTGGCCCTGGCACGGGCTCGAGCTCCAGCGACATGCGGCCGCACCTGTGGGGGCGCATCTGGGCGAGTTTCCAGCCCGACGACTTCAACGACGCCCACAAGGTGAGGGCGCACGCCACGGCCTCGGATGCGGATGCCGGGCGGATGTCGTCGGCGGACAGGCGGGCCAACCTGCGCGCCGACGCCATCGCGAAGGAGGGCGCTAAGCTCCGCGGTCTCAGCGAAGGCGACGTGGACCTTTGGTGTGGGCTCCACGTCATTGCGGAGGAGGCTGGGCGCTGGAGTGGCCAGGCGCACGCTGCAGCCGCTGACGCACTGGCGCCCGACGCAGACCACAGCGTCCTGGAGGGGCCAGGGGGCCACAGCACGGCGCAGACCACTGCGTTCGAGCCAGCTTCTGAGGCGCCGCCCGCCGCAGGCCCTGACGCCGTGCACGTGCTTGCCGCTGCGATTATAGAGCTCGGTTGGCCCCACAATTGGCGCAGTTACGACAGGTGCGCATGTCGAATCGCAGGGCACAGGATTGTCAAAACGACCGTCACGCAAGCGCCCGAGCGCACTCTTTTCTTGTGCTTCAAATGTAGAGGGTGTCTCACAGGGGCCGACCCAGGGAAGGTCCTGAAAAGGCCGTGCCTTAGAGCGCGGGCTGGCCACGGAACTCAGGAGCAGCTCCTCCGGGTGACCAAACGGGAACACCCCCATTATAGGGCCAACCGCAAACACTGGACGCTCGAGGTGCCAACCGCGCCCTCGCGCGACGACCGACTTCGTCTTGCAGCGCTTCATGGGGACCGCGAGCACGCCGCAAATCGAATCGTCCGCGGGGCCGTGGAGGCAGAGCCCGCCCGCGGCCACAGTGCCAGCAGGCGCAACCTCCCGCGCCAACCGCCCACTCGAGATGACATTCTGTCTTGTTTCGGGCTTCGTCGGGAGGACGAAGGCTGGGTAGCTGCGCTTGGGGCGCGCCGGCGCGAGGAGGGGATTTCTCCGCCGTCGGATGCAGAATCCGCGGGTTCAGCCTCTGAAGAGGGAGCCTTGTGAGGCATAATTTGTTTTCTGGCCGTGGACCGCCCGCCGAGGCGCATTCGTAGTAGCCTCTTCCTCCTCCTCCGCCTCCTCCCCCTCCGCCTCCTCCTCCTCCTCCTCCTTTATGTACACAAGCCTTATGTAGGTAGTACGTGCGGCGTTCTTCCTCCTCCTCCTCCTCCTCCTCCTCCTCCTCTTCCTCCTCCTCCTCCTCCTCCTCCTCCTCCTCCTCCTCCTCCTCCTCCTCCTCCTCCTCCTCCTCCTCCTCCTCCTCCCACTCTCGTCAGGTGCACTAGCCCTTCCCCGCCCCTCCGCCGTCCTCGCCGTTCCTCTTGCCTGCCTCTGGCTCCGCCGTCCCTCCGCGGGCCCCCTCCGCTCCTCCTCCGCCGATCGGCCACCCCCCCGAGGTCACGGCTTCCGACTGGGGGGAGTGGAACGTCGAGCGATTCAGCTTGAAGTCTTCCACGGTCATCCGTTTCAGCTTCCCTCCTCTTCCTGATCTTTTCCTTCTGCTCCTCCCCACTCCTCCTCCTCCTCCTCCTCCTTCTCCTCCTCCTCCTCCTCCTCCTCCTCCTCCTCCTCCTCCTCCTCCTCCTCCTCCTCCTCCCCCTTGGCCTGGAGGAGGAGGAGGAAGCCGCCGCCGCCGTCGCCAGCGCCACCGCCGCCGCTACCACCCCTGGTTCTAAGACGAAGGGGCCCCAGTTTGATGAGTGCCAATCGTGCTGGAAATGTTTGAAGCACTCGCGTGGACCGCGTTGTGCCGCAGTGCTTGTGTGCGTGCGTGCGCGCGCGTGTGTGTGTGTGTGTGAGTGTGTGTGTGCGTGTGTGAATGCGTGTGTGTGTGAATGTGTGAATGCGTGTATGTGTGTGTGCGCGTGTGTGTGTGTGTGTGTGCGTGTGCGTGTGCGTGTGCGTGTGCGTGTGCGTGTGTGTATGTGTGTGTGTGCGTGTGCGTGTGCGTGTGCGTACGTGCATGCGTGTGCGTATGTTTTGTTGGGTGTGTGAGTGCGTGTGTGTGTGCGTGTGTAACTGCGTGTGCGTGCGTATGTGTGTGTGTGTGTTTGTGTTCGTGTGTATGCGTCTGCATGTGCGTGTGCGTGTGTGTGTGTGTGTGCGCGTGTGTGTGCAAGCCTATGCGCGTGTGAACGTGTGGGCATGAATCAATGTGATCGTCTGGCAAAATGGGTGCCGACGAAGAACGCCAGGTTAGCGGTGATGAGAATGAAGCAGCCCTTAATACCCAAAGTGCCGTACTGCTTGGTGCAACGCACCAAACTACCAGATGCTACACGTAGTCCTTAGTTTACTACGACCCCCGGTAAACTACGCCACGTTCGCGACCAGGAGGTCACGATCCCGTGTAAATTACGCCTGGTTCGCGCCCCCCGTCGCCACGGCCCCGTGTAAATTTCGCCAGACCCGCGGCCCTGATAATCTGGTCCAGAAATTGCAGGCAAAAGCTAATGTCCGACGAATCTGCTTACTCAATACAGGCAAGGAAGGACTGGCACTGAGCCCGCGGAACATGCGGATCCCCAACCAACAAATACCCGCAAATCTGCTGACCACACATCAAACAGGAAAGGCTGTGATTGGGCTCGCAAAAACTACGGGCCAACGAAAAAATGACCCGCAAATCTCCTCACCAGAGACAGCTGGGATTCAGCTCGCAGCAACTGCGAGCCAACACAAAATTGCCAACACATCTCCTCTGCTCGCGCAAGTTGCGGGTCAACAGAAAATGGCCCGCATATTTCCCCACCCCCAGAATAGGAAGATGGGTTCGGATTCCGCTCGCGGAAACTGCTTGCCAAAAGATATGGCCCGCACATTCTTTATCCAAAAACGAGCCCAGGAAGAGCTGCAATTGAATTCGCAAATTCCGCGGGCCAAAAAAAAATGGCCCGCACATCTCCTCACCCCCGCCACAAGCAAGGAAGGGTTCTGGTCACTCGAGCGGGCGAGGAGCAGCAGGGATGTTAGCGGGAGGCGCGGGCAACAAAAATGTTCCGCGAATTTGCTCGCGGCCAACAACCAAAAGACCCGCAAATCTCTAGGCCTCCTAGATGGGGTCGGAGCAGATGTAGTCGGAGGGTCACGCCGCATCGCCGATGTATCGGCGATGCATCAGCGATGCGGCTCGATGTGGGGCCTGATTTTCTCCATGCCGGCGTCGCCGATGCATCGCCGACGTCGGCACTGAATGGCCGATACGCGTCGATGCATCGCCGATGCATTGGCGATGCGGCGCGATTCCCCGACCCCATCTACTCGGACCCCACCTAGGAGGCCTCCAGAAACTGCGGCCAGCAAGCAATTTCCCGAAAATCTGCCCGCCCTGAAGGAACAAGGAGGGGATCCGCCCACTCAAGCTGGCAAGGAGAGGCAGGGGTGCTGTCGGGTGCAGATCTGCGCCCCCGAGCAGGAGGAGGAGGAGGAGGAGGAGGAGGAGGACAAATCAGGACAGCGATGGGTTCGCGGGAAAGTGCTGACGAGGAGCGCGGGGCCAAAAGCAAATTGCGACCTTCGGTGCTAGACCCACCCAGCTTCCCCAAGCTCCCGGGGCTTGCGGAGGCAGACCGCGGGGAGACACAAGTCAGGAGGGAAACAAGAACACGCACACAGACACAATTAATCGTCGATTCCCCAGAAAATATGGGAACTAGGAGAAGTAGTGGGGAAGACAAAAACATTAAACATACATGAAACTATTAAGAAATCGTTTGTGTGTATTTTTTTGTGTGTGAGTGTGTGTGTGTCCCAGGGCCTCTTCAAGAAGGCGCGCCCAGCTCGGCTTTGTAACACATCGCTTGGCACTGCCTGTTTCGAGCTGCGTCCAGTCGTGGCTACGAGGCCGCCCAAGGGGAGGTCCTGCAGGGACAAGAGCACGCCAAGAAGCCTCGACCCTCGATCATCGGGCTGTCCTCCTCCCAGGGTGCTGCCTGATTGCCTTCGTGTCCCCACATAGTTTCGGGCCTCGCTTTCTCTGCGGTCGACCCCTCCGTCCGTGGTCTTTCCCTGGACCTCGCTTCGCTTCGTCTTCGGGGCCATGCGTCGGCCCCCTTCTCCCTTCTCCCTTCGCCCCCGTCCTCCTGCTCCCCCTCCTCCTCCTCATTCTTCTCCTCCTCCTCCTCCTCATCATCCTCCTCCTCCGGCTGCAGCTGCCTGAGAGCTAGCGCTTCTGACTCCAGTCCTTCTTCCGAGAGCTCCCTCCTCCCCGATGCCTGAGGGCCCTCCCCCAACAGCCAAATCCCTCCTGAGAGCCCCGACAGCTCATCCCCAAAACTCGAATCCCTCCTCCTCAGAGCTCCCTTCTTCCTCCACTCCCACATCCCTCCTCCGGAGAGCTCCTGCCCCAATCCCTCCTCCCCCCCCCCCCCCTCCTCCTCCTCCTCCTCCTCCTCCTCCTCCTCCTCCTCCTCCGCCTCCTCCTCCCGAGGCGAAAGACGCCCTCGCAACCGCCCTCGATTTCAAGCCCGCGCGGCTGCCCGGAGCGGGGGGCGTGCTGCGGGCCGCGGTTGTCTCCACAGAGGCGGGGCTCGAGGGAAGAGCGTGTTCCTCGAAGACGCCTGCGGCGAGCCGCTGCCGGCCCCCTTCCTCCCCCACCCCGCCTTTTGGAGACATCTACAGTGGAGGCCCATGCCAAGAAACACCCTGCTTGCCTCCAGGGTGCCTTGGGTTTCTTGGCTTTCGATGAGTTTGCCATGGACAGCGTGACGTTCCCACGCCAAAACTCTGTGGACGTCCTGGGGTCTCAGGGTTGGGTTTCTTGTGCAAGGTTTCTTGTGGTCGGGCCCCTACTGTACCCAGAGTTCCAACGCATTGAAAGAATCACGACGGATTTGTTTCACAAATTTCGGCCCCCAGGGGCCCTCGCCGGGCCTCGGGAGCGTCAAAAAACGGCTCGCGATGAAACACTGGTCTTGGGGAATGGGTCGAGACTTCCGGGGACCCCGTATTGAAAACAACACGATATTGGATCTCTGGGTACACTTAGGTCGGACCTGTCCCCCTACAGGCGGACTTTGAACGAAAAGTCAGCAATAGTCAAACAAAAAGCTCCAAAATAGTCAAAACCAATCAACATAGTCCCATACGATTCTTTGTTGAATCTGGAGTGCTCCTCCTGTAGAGGAACAGGCCCGACTCAAGGGTGCACATGACTCCCAGGACGACCACCAGGACGAGCGACCCGACCCAGGGCGAAAGGACGCGTGGTGCGCAGCGGCTCCTGTGAGAGAACCACTCGAGTGAAGCGACACGATATATATATATATATATATATATATATATAATGTAAATATTGTGTATATATATATATATATTATATATATATATATATGTATGCTTACGCCTCGTACAGATGAGCAAACAACACAAAAACGTGAACTGCTGGCGCTCCGCGCGGATTCCTTGGATCGGAGCCGGACCCCCCCAGTGCCGGGGCGGTTCGCCTCGACGGGCGCAGGCGCCGCGGCCTCTCAGCGCAAGCCGCGCTCCACCTGCCGAGTGCGCGTCGGCTTCGGCACGCCTTCCGGGCCGTCGGGCAGAGAGGTCGCTCGGCACCGGGCGGCGCGCTCGCGAGGTGCTTCGGGGCCCCAGGGCCCTCGCCTTCCAGGCATGCGATGCGGAGGGGGGGAGGTGGACGAGGAGGTGGTGGAGGAGGAGCAGCAGGAGAGGCAGGAGGAGGAGGAGGGAGGTGGGAGGAGGAGGGAGGAGGAGGGGAGGACGGAGGAGGGGGGGAACAGGGGGAGGAGGGGGGGCGGGAGGAGGAGGGACGGACGCAGGAGAGAAGATGCGGTGGGGACGGTGCGGAGTGGGAATCGAGGCGGAGAGGGGGAGAAGGATGAACACTTGACTGGCTCCGACATGACGCAAAGGCAAAACAAAGAGTGTGATCCGGATTGGGAGAGTGAGGAGGGAGGAGGATGGCGACAATTCGCTCCAACGTTGCGCTACCAACCCTGGTAAGCTCCCGTGCCGCTCATCACCCTCCCTGGAGCTCACTCCAGAGGCTTTCAGAAGCGACCGAACATTTGCCAACAACAGTCGTGATCCTTTTTCGCCGTGCACCACTCCACATCCCGTCTAATCCCCTCCCCTTCCCCCTCCTGCGCTCCCGCTCCACTCTGGGAGGCCCCTTCCTCCAGGAAGCCCCTTCCTCCTGGAGGAGGAAGAGGAGGAGAAAGAGGAAGAGGAGAAGGAGGAGGAGGAGGAGGAGGAGGGAGAGGAGAGGGAGGAAAGGAGGGAGGGCGCGAGAGAGGAGGAGAAGAGGGAGAGATGCCTCCCTCCAGGCGCGGGCGCCGCCATTGCCGCCCGCCGGCACGTGGCACGCTCCGGCGAAGGCCGCGCCGCACGGCCGGCCGCGGACGCCCCCGCCGCGCCCCGCCGGCGCGTGGCACTCGGCAGCGCGTGCCGCGACGGGCAGCAGGCCGCAGACGCCGCCGCCGCCGCCGCGCCCCGCGGGCACCTGGCACGCGCCGGCGGGGGGCCGCGGAGGCGCGCGGCGCGCCGCGGACGCGCCCCGCCGGCACGTGGCACACGCCGGCGCCCGCCGCAAAGCGGGCGAGCAGCCGCACGCGGCCGCCGCGGACGCGCCCCGCCGGCACGTGGCACGCGCCGGCGCCCGCCGCTGCGGGCGGCCAGCTGCGGGCGCCGGCGCAGCCCGGCGGCACGGCGACGCTGGCCGCGGCGGGCGTCAGTATCGTTGAGCCGATGCCTCTCCTGAAGTCGGGCCTGTCCCTCCACAGGGGGATCTATCCAGAAACAGTCAAAAAAGAGTCTGGGGGCTATGTTTTATAGTATGTTTGCTGTTGCTGCTGTTGTTGAACATTATTAATTCTAAAGAATAATTATTGTTGGGCCCCCTGGTGCGCGCCCCCCCCGCCGCGCCTAGGCCGCAGCCACATTTTCATTATTTTCGTGAGGAAGCCTCAGGTAATTCGAGGTTGATCAAGATCCGGTTGTTTTGTTGTAATCCGTTTTCCCTTGCAAAAAACACTATAAAATGACATTTCTTGTTCTAATATAATCAAATTTCAAGAATCCCTTGCAAAAAATAAGGTAAAGTGGACATTCGCGCGCGCAAGACGAAATCCTTCCAAAAGCTTAGTGTTCGCAGCGATTTTAACATAAAAACATCAAAAAACCAATGGTTTTTCAACAAAAAAAATGTCAAAATCTCATCCCGCGCGCTCTTGCGGATTCGTAGGAAACCCAACACTTTTTAAACATTTCTGTCAAACGGGCTTTTGCGAGCAACTTTTTCGAACTTCTGCGACAACGGTTGCGCACCTGCCAGGGCCATCATCCCTGTCAAATAATACCATGCGGGACACATTCGTCTCTCTGTATTATGTATTGAATGGCACAATTGCACCATGCTGGGCACATGCGCGCCCCGAATAAGTGACCAAGTTCTGTGGGTGTGTACCCCACGCCAGTGTAGTAGCCACGGTCGTCCGCACGCCACGAAGTGAAGTGTCCCAACGTCATAGGGCGGGAAGCTGGGTTTGGGTGGTCGCGAAGAGTCGTTTGGATATTTGGTAGAGCTTGTAATGCCCCCCCACGAAGTGGGGGTATTGCCTGGTGTCGTATGAAAACCCTGGCACTGGGGAGAACACCACGCGTTCGGGTAAAATGATTGTTGTTGTTGTTGGTTGTTGGTGTGCTGTTGATGTTGTGGTTGTTGTTGTTGTTGTTGTTGTTGTTGTTGTTGTTGTTGTTGTTGTTGTTGTTGTTGTTGAACATTATTTCTTCTTAAGAATAATTATTGTTGGGGCCCCTGGTGCGCGACCCCCCCGCCGCGCCTAGGCCGCAGCCTCATTTTCATCATTTTCGTGGGGAAGTCTCAGGCAAAACGGGGAGTCCGGATCCGGTTGTGTTGTTGCGATCGGTTTTCCCTTGCAAAAAATAAGCTAAAG